GACCCAACTACTAATCTGTCGGTTGGCAGCTTATCTATGGGAGAGCGGACGGGATCCCGAGTTTTCTGCCACCTATGGTCGTATGTGCTAGACTGGCGGGTGAAAGAGTATTATGTTCTCAAAACAGAGAAAAAGAGAAAAAGGAAAAAAATGAGACACAACCACCTCTAAGCTAAAGCCCTCGTCTGCAAGCCTATTTCCGAGCCACTGCCGACTCCGGAGCTTCAGCTCAGCTGCCCCTGTACATTTTTCAAAGACAATGATTTAGTTGCCGCGCCCTGTCTCTTCAACCGTGAAAACCCAATTCGCCTGGGACCTGTCGATCAGCCGACAGCTCCCGGCGTGATGGTATCCTGATGACATAAATGAGACATAAATGTGCGGATGACGGCGCCGGCTGAGGCTGCTTGTCGCCGATGAGGCCAGGAGCGGGATGCACGCATGTAAAACACACCAAGACGTGTTTCTTTGACAAAATGTACGGTAGTTGACAAAAAGAAGATTCCCAAATTCGACAAAAGAAAATGAGAGAAATCAGACAGCGTATCTGAATCCAGGGAAGGTGGGAAAAAGAAAAAGTGATAGTATCATGATGGACTTTAACCACCGCTTCTGGACAGACGGGGAATCGAACCCCGGACCACTCCCATATCAAATTACTCAGGGTAACCATGCTAAGGGAGTATTATACCACTAAACCATCCGCCCAACGATTGGTTGAATCGATGAAAGTGTACTCCTAATCTTTGTCTATACATTGAGTCTCCGTTAGACAAAGACTCCGCGCATCTAGATGTAGGCTTATGTGATTGCAACCCCACCATGTAACTGCGCGCACGCCCGCGCCAGCAGCTTGCTGATCACTGGATTCCTGTTGCCGGGATTTATTGGCACGGCACCGAATCACAGGATCCCAATTTTCGAGGGCATTCAGTCTCCGTCTCCGTCTCCGTCCCCGTCCAACCCGCCATGTCCGAGGACGACACCGACATGCTTGGCCCCGACGGCCACGGGTCTTCATCTCGCGTCGATCGCGATCGCCGCGCTCCCCGATTCAGCTGGACACCCGCATACGAGACCACATTTTTCCGCAGCCTTTGCGCCAGCGTCCAGCTCGGGCTGCGGGAAAACAGCAGCTTCAAGGCCGAGGCATGGGAGCGCGCCGCGCAGGCCCTGCAGGAGCGTCACGGCGCGTATCCCGCAAAGAGCCATCTCATCAACAAGAGCGATAATGCGCGGAAGCGGTTCCGACTGTGGCGTGGTCTGCGCGAGGACCCGGAATTTGTGTACAATCCCGTCTCCAAGACGGTGACTGCGACGGAGGATGCCTGGAAGGCGCATATAGAGGTTGGTCCATGTGTCGACGGTTTCTTCACGCCGTTTACAAGATTGAGATGCGAAGAAAAAAAAAAAAA